AACTATGATGCGGAGACAACACAACCTGACTCGGAAGCTAAGCCACCTGATTCGGAAACTGAAATGTATGTATGATTCTCAAACAAACCTGGACATCTTGATCCAGAAACTGTAGCCCTGGCTCCAAAATTAAACCCCCTGATTGGGAAACTAAACAACTTGTTCAGAAACTATCCCACCATGATAATGCATGCCTGGGGAACTAGGTTTAGAAGTACCCCCCCAACACCCAACCACCCTCACCCTTGGGTGGCAGTAAGTTTCTGAATCGGATGAATAGGTTCAGTGAGTTTCCGAATCAGGGAAGTCAGTTGTTGAATTGAAGATTGTTAGAATTTGGTTTCCGAATTGGGGATCTTTGGTCTTCGAATCGAGGAGCTTTCGGCTTCCGATTCGTGGAATTCATATCTTTCTTACATGCGATAATTTAGGTTCTGACGAAACTACATGCAGCAAAGAACTTATCAAAGCAGGCCTTATGCAGGCGCTTCCTACCCCGGAAGCAGGTCTCGAAGGACACCTGGCGTGAGGCGTAGAATCATCTTCAACAGTCACCAGCTTTGCCCACTCTTCAATTCAAGTTCCTCGCATAGGACTCGCTGCCTCGGCTTCCAGGTCTTGCTGGATGAAGAAGAGGTCGTCGAGAGCAGCCTTCCGCTGAGTTAGCGTGCTGGGACTCTGGAGTAATCACCTCAAATGGCGCCTTTCCCAGCATGAGCTCCTTGATGTCAGCTTTGCCGAAACCATCCAATGCTTTGCCGTTGACCTTTGAGCTGCAAGCATGCTTCACAGGCCGCTCTGCCAAAAACCGCCTGGGCGCGCTTCGCGCCAACTTGTTGCGGAGCATGCTTACAGGCTTTGAGCGAATATAAGATCAGACCCCTTCCACAGCTACTTTGAGGTGGGGTGGTGTGGCTTACGCAAATCCAGCGAAGTGCTCTAATGCTGCACCTGGCAAAAGCTCTCCGGCTTCAAGGCTGGAGTGCAGCTGCATACAAGAAAGCCTGGTGATTCTGGAACTTTTTGACTTGTTGGGACTAAGAACGGGACTGACACCAACATGCTGCCAGGACGGATTTCAGGTTCGGCCTGGGGCTTGCTGTGAAGCGCGGCATGTCAGCACTCATGTTTATAGTCAAGACTGGCGTGCTGTCACCATACGGAAACTCTCCAGGAAATGTGATGGAACACGCGATCGCGTAACATCATGCCCTCGTCGCTAGCATGCATCACGTTGCGCCCAACCTTGCTCATGAAGCCATCCTTGTGAACGCGCCCAATGTATACGCCCTCCTGCAAGAAATTGCAACATGCACACCTTCCCTGATCTTCCCTGTGACTGTGGACAGATCCCCTTGTAGCTAAGACAAATGCGGCAACAAATCTTGTTTTTCCCGCAGGCTTCCTTGCAACCCCCGGTGAAGCTGTAGAGGGCCTGCACATGAACATTCATGGCTTAACCATTCATACAATCAGGTAACGAAAGAGACAGGGCCATTTCCCCAGCGTAGATGTTGATGGCCTGGTTGGGATGCACTGTTGTCAGGCCATGTCCAGGTGTCCGGAAACCTGAGCAGTCTCGAGTGGTGGCCACAGCATGCTTAGAGCGCAAAGTGCCCAGCCGCGATGAAGGTCAGGGTTTCGCAGTGGCAGCGGCAGCGTGAAGAGCAAAGTCAGAGGAGTTTGGGGGGGCATTCACCGCCACACTTGAGCGAGATATGGCAGAGACCTGCTTGACTCAGCGCTTTGTCTCAAATGAGCTAGCAGCCCAAGCGGCGCCATGGCGCTCCGCGCTGCTCCTGGCAAGTGGATTTCGAACTTGCGGGGACGACATAGATACGAGATCATGACGGTGTGAAACTACCATCAACGTCAGAAGTTCCAAAGCGCAAAGATCCCCAGCTGGCCTTCAAGTGAAGGTTGATCAACGCCTTGCAGCTAACCAGTCTGCGCCGATGAGAATAGAGCACAGATAGAGCACAGCGGAGCCTGAACCCTGAATGCGGGGATCACGTAGTTGATGTTCTCACCTTTACCAAGCTTGTGCTTTGAGTGGACTTACTTGCTCTGCTTTCTGTGACTTTTTCTGCTCAAACATGTCCCATGTCCCATGCCTCGAGTGGCGCCAGCAAAGTTGACACCGAGCACCTGTGCAATTTCTTTGATCATGCGGCTCTACAAGCCATGCATGACCCGCGACTTGAGCACACTGACAAAGCAGGCCTCTGTACCAGCATCATCCAGGAGCGGACCCCCACCTCGTGACCATTGGAAAGCTGAAGCATGGACCTCTGTAAAGAGATGGGCTGAGCTTACTCGTGAACATCCTGTGCATGTTTTAGGTGGCTGGCTGTTCCCTGGTGAGATCGGAGCAGTGGACCTTATCTCACAAGGCCTTATTCACTTATCATCGTCCCAGCTCTTGGCATCTCTCGGTCTTGGCTGAGGCATAGGCTGAATGCAAAGATTGCTGTTCACAAACTCATTTCCAGCAACATTGCCTGCAAACAAGGAACATCTGTCTCTGGCTTGCTTTTTGCACTCAATATTCTGGCGTGTCGGTCGTCTACGATGTCAGAGCAATCGCAAAGGCAGCAGCGGCTGCTGGGCAGCGGTCATTGTGCAAGTGTTTCTAGCAGTAGAGGTAGAGGTGAAGTGAAAATAGAACTAGCTTTTGATAATGATGAGGAGGAGGAGGATAAGGAAATGGCAATGGCCGTGGCGAAAGCAGCACGAAGCAAAAGTTGGTGTTGTCTCTAAGTTTCCAGCTCCCTCGAATCCATGTCAAATAACTTCAGATTGATTGCGGTTGGGGTTCCCTCGCAACCGTCAGCAACCTCCACCGCTGGCTGACATCTCTGTTGCAATCTGAATCTTTGTTCGCCGTTTTCCTCCTACGAGTAATAAACTGAAGCATGCCGCTCTGCTGTCATGCTGCGCTCGATGCCAAGACATCCCTACATTGACATACCATCCACGACCCATCTTCCCGTTTCCCATTGTCGCTTCTCGCTTTTTGAAAAAGCTGTGACCGCAATTATTGCCAGTAGCTGCTTGCATCAGGCGTGATTGGCACAATTCTGTCAGCCCTTTAACCTGCCCGCAGCCTTTTGAGATCTTCAAGGAGTTCTGACCAAGAGGGAAGCCCAGAGCGACCACATCTTGACCCATCTCGGCCACCCTCTGCGACCTTCACAAGTCTCATATGCGCTACTGAGGAATATATTCCACTAAGGACGCCTAGTAGAACTCTGAGCCCGAGGCAAAGCCAAGGCCTTAAGCTCGATGCCCGACTTCGCCAAGTCTGCTTTGAATTCCTGGCAGGCTCCGGACTACTTGGGCTTTATGATCTCTGGCCACACTCGAAAGCTTGCTTGTCTGCGCATGCCCTTACATGCCCATACTGAAGTTCTCAGAGAACCCTGCAATTCACTTCTGTCTCTCTCTGAAGGCGAGCGGGCATCAGTGCCATCTTCCATCTTTAGCCAAATACACATGGTGAAGGCGTAGTGGCTTCTTGCGGGGAGTCAGCTTAGGCAAAGCAGAGGGTGTACAGCCTTGTCGGATTTCAATGTCAGTAGAGCGAGGTCAAACTTCGGACCTGGTCAGCTACAACACTCTCCGCCGACCAACTGCTGCATACTCCAGAAAATACTGCCTGCTGTATCTTATGCTCACCAACGGCTTGGTCTTTTGCAGACCCAGGGCCCTGGCATGCAGATACGATGTTCACGTCCCACTTTGCCTGACCTCACAAGTCAAAAAGGACTAGAGGACCCATGCCTAGCTTTGGCCACCACATGCCAGCTTTAAAGGCCACGGCTGTGAAGCAAGAGCTGAATCTGCACCCGGAGGGCATCATTGATAACCTGACTACAAGCTGAGTCCAGCAAATATTGCATCCATGTCTCGGGGTTTTGCTTACTTATTGCCGTCAGGAAACATGCTGGTTGGTGGCTATGAGGACGTAGGGCTCAGTTTGCACCTTTCGATGCAGATAGAAACTTGCCGCAGGAACTCGAACCATATGAGTCTGTCAAGATAGGCACGATGAAGCCACTTCCAAGGCTTACGAGGCCATCCCTCGGGTTGAAGGGACGAAACCTGCAGCGCTTCAATGCTCGATCAAGGGTCCCTCAGAGCAGTCAAATTCGCTTGGCACCACGCCAGTCGAAGCTTGCTCCGACTGTCTCAATACGAACAATACCTGGAATATGATCATTTCCAGCAACATGCCAAATCCACACTTTCCCATTCTCCGATTGAAGTCTCTGGCATGCAGTTTAGAAGCTCTTTTGCAAATGATCATAGTCAAAGTCCTCCAAGCGTGCAAGGCAAGTCATGTTTTGTCAAGAGTCAACAGCAGCACGGATCAACGACTATTCGCAGCGGGGAGACCTACGGCAAGCAGTCCTGCTTGTCTGAAAACTTGAGCCCGTATCCCTCGACCAGGAAAAACGCAAGCAACGCTGCTAGTCTCACCTCGCACAAATGTGTATGCGGCAGTCAGCAATTACATGCCATTATGCATGCGCAGCTGAGGCAGGTGACCGCCATTGCAGTGGCTGGGTTGCGACTGCGCGACGCAGTCTGACCTAGCCACGTTGTAGCTTCTTCTCTCATGGCTCTCTGCGGTACAGTCTGAGGGCCCAGCGATAAGAACCGGAACGATGACCGGTTTGGATACTAAGCAACTCAGCTTAGAAAAGTTCTCCTCCGCTGTGCTTGGAGGTGCTGCTAGCTTCCAAGTACGTTCTGTTGAAATTGCTAGGTTCCATGTGGTACCATCTGATTCCATACTGCAGGGGGTACTTCCTTTGAAGCCCCTTAGCAGCCTTCGGCTGCTCTTCAATGTGGGCGGGAACGTAACTTGAGCCGGGGCAAGTGCGCGCACGGTTGGGGCATGCTTGTTGTCAACGGCTAGAGGTTTTCATTCCAGTGACCTAACAAGAACTGGGTAGAGCTTGGTTGAACAAGCTTGCATGCAGCGAGCCGCAGGCCATACCCAGACGCAGCTCGTACCGAGCAGACTCTGCCTCCCTGTAGGCCATGCCTTGCAGCATTACACCGAAACCATCCGAAACCAACATGCCACAGGCTTCTCTCATGCAGCGCAAATGCACCTGACATGATCAGGCCATGAAATCTCCTGAGCTCCCATGCCCATGCGCTCTTTTCTAGTCCTCGGCCGCGGGACCTGTACTACAAATAAAACGTTACGCAATTCAAGCACATCACACGACCCTTTGCTGAGCTTGATGTGTAGATATTGCAGGTTGAAGCCTTTGTGCCGTCTTCATTGACGAAGAAGGCGGGTGCTCTTTCATCTGGCGGGGCATCGCTGTCGCTTTCAGCACCTCTGTGCAGATGGCTTCGGTAACCCTTTGCATGAGCCGGTCATTATGTAAGTTCTGCTGCCAGGCTTTCAAACGAGGATGGGCTGGCTAGCAAGAACTCACAACTCCGAGCCGCACCAATTTCTGCAAGCATTCGTTGCAGACTTTGAACTTTCCTCTGCTTTTTCCTGACCTACAGCAGACTGGCGACGTGTCTGCCTTTCGGCCTTCCGCATGAGTTTAACAGCATGAAACTCTTGCATTCCACCTGCTCCTCTGCTTTTCTCTGCCTCATTTCGGCTTTAATCCTTGCCTGATGGTCAGACATAAACGAGGTTGTCTGACACTGCAAAGACAAGTGATTAAAGGTTGCCCGCAGGCAACCAATTGGCCTGCTGGAAGACATCGGCCTGCTGTTTGGCCTTGAGTTGACATGCTGGTCTCACTGCGTCATGAACTGCAGGAGCTCTGGATTCATCCATCCGAGTGCCCGTCGTAGGCTTCTGAAGCTTCAGCATCTTCTTGTGCTTTGAGCGCAGCATCGCGCTCGCCCTGAGTGCTTCGGTTGCAAAAGTTTGCTACAGGCTTGCCCTGGCCAGTAAGACAGGACAAGAAAATCTAAATAAGTCTGGCGGCCTCGGCTACACGCTTGGCTTCCTGCCAGATGGGCTGAGCTGTCTGTACAGACCCGGCCAAAAAAATCCCACATGAACCCTCCCATGATCCTGGCACCGCCAAAGTCACGGAATCATGTTACCCTAAGTTCCTGTTCTGTCCTCCGCTTCCAACCGCTGCTGGTTTGCTTTGTCTCGTTCTTGCCGAGCTTCCCGTGCGTCCTTCGCTCTGAATGAAGTCACAAAGGCCAAGCTGAAGAAGCCTTCTACACTTCCCCTTCAGAAATTTCAGGAAGTCCCGCTGCGCCAATTTGGCTGCACGCTCGGCTTCGGCTTGCAGCTGTCGAGCCTCTTCGATGCCTGGCGCTCGTACGCTGCAGCGCTGTGCTTATGCCAGCTCAGCTTCCTCTTTGCGGCTGCAAAAAAGAAAGACGCTGAACACGGCAACTTCTGCAAGAAGGCCCATCATTGGGGAACGGGATCAGCTAAGATTGAATCATTGAAGGGATCTCAAAAGCATGAGCAGCGCAGCGCCCTTGCAGAAATTCAACAGGCGATCACATCTGTCAATTGAGCTCTCGCTGTTGTAGGCAGCAATGCGTCACTACTCCTCTGAGATTGGCGGAGTTCATCTAAAATTTGATGGCACATGTTGAAGCAAAGTCCAGACCATCCTGTGGACTCGTTGACCCTTGCTCGGTGTTACCATCCTCCCATGCAGCCCGCTATATCCGGCTATCTGTCATTCCACTGTGGACAAGTGACATGCACAACCTACAGTTCAGCCAGACCTGCAGGGCACAAGAAGAAAGTGTTGGACGAATCCTCAGTCTGCACAAATCAGCAGATTCTGCCGCAACCCTGCTTGTTAATTTGCAGCTGTCATGGAGCCTGGTAACCTAAGACCACCTCCCACCTGCGCACTGCAAGCTTCCCTGCCCTCATTTTCCACCGTGCCTGTTGCCTCCGAGGGCCTCGACACTCCGAGGGAACCGCAGCAAGGCGCCGCCGCATCTGATCCCGAGCCAGAGTGCCAAGACTTAAGCTGCTCGGACAACCCTTCGGTCAGCATCATGTCAACAGTCTTGGCTTTGAAGCTGTCACGGGATCCACGTGAGAGTTCCCTTAAGCAGCTGGGTACAGCTGATAAGTTCTGCTAAGCTACAAGATCACCAGGTATCAACTTGCGTACAATTACGGCATAGCAAGCTTGGCAAATCAGCCCGATAAGCCTGCAGAGAAACTGAAAGAGTTCCACGTTCCAAGCATGAAGAATGAAGAATGTGCGGAACAATATGTGGGTGCTACTTGTAGTGCCAAGTGGCACTGAGTCGTGCAGTGCCAGGTTAGCTCGCTGCAAACCCGGAGTCCCACGCCACTGCACCTAAGGGACCTATATACAGAGCTGGCTGTCACACGTGAGTATGTTCAAGGAGTATGGAGTATCTCTCTGCACTTTGCTGGTTCAGCATGCTTGCGTCTTGTTCATGCGACAGCCACAATACAACTCCAAGCAGGATTCCAGCCGGCTCCGCTTGCTCAGCTTTGAAACTGCTTTAGTTCTCATTTGCTAATATTCCGGCCAAGAACTCTTTCTAGCTGAGCACGCAAAAACTGGACTGACAGAATCTGGTTCACATTTTTGCAAACCGCGTCTGCCTAATTTACGAACGCCACTGCCCCTTCTCGCATGTGCGCGAAAGGCGGGTTTGAACATATCTCGCGAAGCAGGGCTATGCGATCGGCCAATCTCACTCCTGCCTCATCTCCACCTCAACCAAGGACCACGCAATACCACTAAAACACTGCGAGCAAGGCTGCAAAAAGCACAAAGCTCTGATCCTGAAACCTTTCAGAGGGTTGCTACGAGTCTGGACTCAGGCCTTCGTGCTGTGCCAGTTCCAGAAGCTGGAGGAGCTCGGCAATTGGAGCTCCCTCCGCCCGACCCGTCAGCAGCAAGCGCAGCGGGCGGTGTAGCCGCGGCCCTGTACTGTCTTTCGTGTGGCGGTCTAGAACCGGCTCTTCTCCGGCCCCTACCATGCTGCACTGAAGAATGGGAAGTCGCACCTCTCCGGCCCTGCCCCCGCAACTCCGCGAGAAGGGCTGGAAGCTTTTGGCTCAGCAGCCCCGGCTCCTACAGCCAGCTGATTGATGCTTTTGTCGATGCAGTCACATCAACTCAAAACAAGTTTTGCCACTGCTGGTTCTGCACCTTTTGTAGGCAATCATCAGGACGACTTGTAGAGGCATGCAGGCTTTACTAAGGCATAGCGGACCTCGGCGTATTCCAGAAGGACAGGCACGACCTGTCAACAACATTCTCGATTCGGACTGGATGGCCCGTGATTTTGTTTGAACATCTCCAGACCTCTATGGTATCCTCCACCAATTCGGTGATCCGGGGATAACCTCAAGGCAGCATGATGCAATCAGCCATTGTCTTCCCCACAGTGAACGACTACATATTTTCTAGAAAACACGGGTACTGTACCATTCAGAGCCTCAGGTTGGGGAGGTTGCCAACCCTAACTCCTTGCTGACAGCATGACCTGGAGTCTTGGCCGCGGCAATGGCGTCCTCGAGGTCAAAGACAAGTGCCTGCCCGTGAGCAGCAGGTAGCAGTACATGTAGCCAGCTGCATGCTGCAAATGCCCCGAGACATGCCGAAGACCCGAAGGGCCGAAGGACCTCTCGCAGCATGGCCAAGGACTCACGGACGGATCTGCAGCCCCGAGCCACGCAGAAACGTACGCACTCCTGGCAACGCAAGGAACTTTTCACAGATCTCAGACAAGCTTGGACACAACATCATCACTTCATCCCAACTCGTGCCTTGCTCATGGCGGAATCTACGTGGACCGTTATTCCATCCTGCCAGCTTGCAGCATGGTATGGCTGCAGTCCAAGAGCTTCTAAGGCCAATGCCATGTCCTCCACAAGCCAGCGTGGCAAGGTTTGTGCCAGCTCTACACCTTAGGATGCTCCCAACTTGTAGATGAAGAGCTTACGGATTCTTATTGTTGGACTTATGGTGTCAGCTGCTGAGGCAAGGGCTGGTGCAGATATGGTCTGGCCCCGCAGGCTCTTCGAGGAATGCTGGGCCCAGATAGATGGCGTAAGATGTGACTAGTTGGCCACCTCACGGGGCACTCATGCTAATCGCAATGCCACGGTAAGTCTGCGTCACTTCGAATCTTGCGGTCCATCTTTCTGCAACCTGGATACTGTCCTCTACCAAGTCATCTGAGCTGGCTGCACGAGAGCTGCCCGCACGGCAAAGGACGTAGCGATAACGCTCTCCATCCAGTGTAGTCTCCTTTGTGTAGCCCTCGTTGTAGGCATAAGTGTTGGTCCATGGAATCCAGCCATTCTGCAGAGCAAAATTAGGCGTCGAGGTCTCAAAGTAAGCCGCAGTACCAGTGGCTAGTTGCCACTCTGGAGAGGTACCGATGAAGAAGCCACCCTGATCTTTCACCAGCTTGTAGCCGGAGTAGTCCCAGACGAACTTTCCGGAGACAAACCTTAGTCGAGATCGATGATCCGTGCATCCGAGCAGCTACAACTGCTCAACACGAAACCGTCGCTGAGACATAAAGTAAGGCAAAGCGCCGGCTGTTCATCAGGCCGGCTTCAGCGTTGTTGTAAATGTACCCAAGGTATCTCGCCGTGCCTCTAACCTCCAGGTCATAGCTTATTCAAACGGCAAATGAGTGATTCAGAAGACACGGCAATGTTTTTCTAGCTTCCTGACGAAAAAAATTATGCAATTGGGGCCCCAAGAATTCACTCTCTAAACTTCTCTAAGCTCAACTTAGAACGATTCCCAAAGACTTCCTGTGCAGAGCAGCGGGTTGCCATCGAGGACAAGAAAACAAGAGGGCAAATTGTCATGGCAGAATCAAAAGGCAAATATGGAAGCCAAGAGCTGGAAGCTTTCATTCTGCACTCACCCTTTGAGTGAATCTACTCCTGCTCTGAGCCTCTTCGAGGTAGAATTTTAGCCAACAGTGGAAGCCACCGGCCACAGGCTGGCCCGAGATATCCTCCGTCAAATTGCCTCGGCTCAATCAGATTGCTTGCTCAGGACTACCCTCACCTCGCAGCAAGCTGCTCCCAATTTGACAAATCTCGACCGGAATGGCATGCCAGCGCTTCAGGAATGCCCCTAACTGGATGACAGCAAGCTCCATATTGCAAATATGGCTGCCCAGGAAAACGTGCTCGAACACGCAGGGCTTGCCATCTCTGCGTTGAAACCAGAGCTTGAAAAGCACTTCCTGTCAATCGTCTTGCACGGGGCAATGCAATCAACACTGAAGGTAAGAGACACACCACCCAAGATTGGGACCGACAGATTGTTCCTGTTTCGAGTGTCTTTCGCATGAAGCACACAAGTCTGGAGGCACATGGACTGTCCTTCCACGGGCGCGTGAGCACTACAGGCAAGGTTTTTGTGATGTGTCTGAAAGCCCGACCTCAGCATCCGTGGTCGGGGACAGGATGCTTTGGTAAAGGCTTCTTGGAGGTATGTAGCTGTTGCAAGGAACTTAGCCGTTCTAATTCCAACACGTCCTATGCTTGACGCCAGGTCACGCATAACCGATGTGCGCGTCACCTGCTCTAGGAAATCATCAATCGCAGCAAATTCCGTCGGGCTGTAGGGACCTTGCCCAGGAGCAAAACAACTGTAAGCAGGGGTGGTGCAATGAAAGCTCTGTTATGCAGTGTGGCAGTTCTCCAACCTCTGAGCTCTGAACCGCATGTGCTTGATTCACCCTCAGATGGCTGGAAAACCTGGGCTGGGACTGAACGCATCAAACAAAAATTGGGTTCACTGATGTTCACTGTGTCTGCATGCATGCATTGATGCCTGTTAATGTCAACTTCATTCCAAAACGTCTCTCCTGCCTGCTTTGTCACTGACGGTTGCGAATTCCAAGAAATGGCTTACCCAAGACATTCCTATGCACTTGCTCTGTGCTGTTCCAAGGCGCATCAAATACACGGACCAAAGCAAGAAAAGTCGGCCGCGCCAAAATCTCTGGGGCAACATGTGCAAAGAGAGGGCGCTTGGCGCACCTTGGCATGTGCGAGACAGTTGAAAACAGGTTGATCAACACGGAACTAAGGTGATTGGAATATCTACAAATCACACTACAACGCTGTAGCGTCATGTGAGCTTTCGGATTCACATCCCTTCAGCGGTCTGAGAGGAATGCTTTGCTCCTGGATCTTTACATGATGGTCTATTCTGTATGTTCGGACATGTCATGCAGCCAGGTGTCTCTGCCAGCGTCGTGCGGAGTGCTGCCACTTGCTCATCCAGAAGGATGTCCTGTTTAGTGACCCGAGTTGCAAGACATGAAGCCATACAAATACCCAAATACCTTATCGACAGAATGTCGTCATGCACCTCTTGTTCAGACCTGATTTCATCCATCCAACCTGTTTGCGAACCTCATGTTGCTACGTCGGCTTTTTCATCTTTGCTTTTTTCCAGCGCTGGGCTGTGCATCGATCATTGGCGGGTTTCAGCTTAGTACTTGCAAGTTGCTCGTGCTGAGGTGGATCTTCTGTTGGTATTGCCGTGGGCTTGCAGCGCGAGGATGTGGTTGAAATCGCAGAGGTACTCTCAAACTCTCCCAATGCAAAGATGATGAGATGCCTTGGGGTGGACCACCACGTCATATTTGCCTGTCAAGCCGCAGCGTCAGCATTTACCCACGGCCGGCGCCCTCCTTCTCCAGGACGCCTGATCAGAGCTACCGACCGCATGCAGCTCTTCAGGTGGGTGCTCTCACTGTGCTGGTACAAGACATCCGGCACCACACCTGGCACTGACGACGCATCGACCTTCGTCTAAAGACCAGAGCTCATTGAGGATGTTGATTTTGCCAACCTGCTTCAAGAGACCACCACTTGTAAAAGTGCAACTTGATTAAGACGTCTCACAGCGATAGATAGACCAGCGGGCCATGCCCCAGAAGAAACCCTTCCCCTTTGACAGAAATCACCAATTGCAATGCTATGACTGCCCTCATCAATCTTGGCAAATCCTGGCATCCCTCCAGCCTCAGCTTGAGCTGGCTCTTTGGCCTGCACATCCCCACGAAGAACAACAATAGAGTCTGTTGTTTTTGTGATGTTCTCCTACACAAATAGAGTTAGGTTTACAGTTTACATCATAATTCATTGTTGGTATGACCCCCCTCTTTGTGCTACAGTGCCTTGCTCCTCTCCGTTGCCCACAAATCCGACTAAGAGCCTGCATGAGCTGAGATTCATGGGTGCAAGGAAAGGCATCCACAACCCCTTTAGCAAGTACGATAGCCACTCAGCAGTCAAGATCTCTTGACACGAGCACCAGGATGGACCACGGGCTGTCAACGCAGTTCTACCTATGGCCCTCCACCATATTGCAGCAGTGCGAAACGGATGTTCAGTTGCCGTCAGAAGTTGCACTGCCAAAGGAGGCACTTACATGTGATATGATCTGATAAGTACCTGGCTCGGCTCTGGAGCAACCCAAATATGCTGAACGCCGTCTCCTCCAATGCCCCGTTCCCCAACAGTGCACAAAACAAGACTTTTCAGCTTCAAGAAATGGCCAAGACAGCCTCAATTCAGGCTCAACATATAGTCCAGCTTCCCTGGGCCTGAAGTCTCAACGCGAAGTCGTAGAGAGCGCTGCTAAGCTGCGAGCTGGACATCGCAGCACGGCGCAACATGCCTCAGCTCTGCACATCAATGGACCTCGAAGCCTGACAAAACAAAGAGACGAGCCCCCGTGCTTGTTGCAGCCAACGCACCGAAGAGGATCTCTCTAGTAGCCCCTTGCGGGAACTGCTCTTGGATGGCCTGGTGTTTTGGGGATGGCAAGCCGCATTTGGAAGCATGGACTACTGCTATGATGAGGTTTTCATGCGTGTACCCTGTCTGCACGGTGCTCCGACATGCTTGGGCAGTAAATGGTTCCAGTCTTGCAATCTTCGCGGTCTTGCTTGCTATGACGCAAAACCAACAACCTAACACCTGCGGAGCAAGTCCTTTCCTTCATAGTCAAGTTGCATCGAGGCTTCGCAGCATTGCCATCTCCTGCGACCGCTGGATGCCTCAGCCGGTCTTCAGATAGGCTGGGGCTGCTCCTTTGGAAGGTGGATGAATGGCTTGCACAGGCCTGTGTAGATCTCGGCAAAGCGACCCGTCTCCTGTCGAGCTGCACAAGAAGGAAGGCGAAAGATGTCCCAGAAGCTAGAACTTTGCTTCGCACCTTGAATCTTGCCGTGGACTCAGCCTCCGCTACGCAAGAACCACGCATGTTCCCGGTAGGTTGGCTGGCATGGGCTGCATGGGATGAAGCTGAATACCCGGAGGAAGGCATGCGAGGACTTGTCCAGCCAGGCAACAGCATCATCGCGCACGTTGCTGAAGATGTCGCGTGCTCCCTGACCAACACATTGCTGGAGCCATATGCTCTCAAGTTAACGCGGGAATATGTTTCTGATGTTGCTTGCCCTGTCCGCGAAGCATGAGTCGTGTTGACCAGACTACTCAGTCAGGGCTGCTGGCAACCTTAAGACCACAGCCCATCCTGGAAGAAGAAATTGGGCATAACGAAGCCGCCGGAAGAAGCCAGCGTGTTGCCATCAAAGTTATCTCCGCGTAGGTTTTTCACGAAAATAAACCTCAGTCGCCGAGGCAATTCCTGTCATGTCACCATCCTCAATCTACAACAACTCGTGGCTGGGCAGGCTGCTTGAACAAACCTTTTCTGTTGAGTAATCAGGGGGTGCCCGAAGGAGCACAAACCCTTTACCCCTTCGACGCAGTCGAAGAGTTCTCTCCACGGAACAGTCAACCATACCCTCGCTTCTGTGCAGGGCACCCAATCTATCCCTCACAGAGCTGGCAGTTAGTGTTACAGGATGTTGCAGGCAGGCCGCAGGACTGCCGTGATCGTGGAAAGGGTGCCGAAGACCCCAACAAGGATGCCAAGACCAAAGCTGTCCACACCAACCTTGGCAGGCCAGCGCATGCTCGAACCCGGGATGCCACCCGGAGAAGGACAGGCCAGCTGACTGAAGTAGTGCTGCACGGTCACAGAATCCAAGTAAGTGTCAATGGCAGATGGGGCGACGTGTCTGACGATTGCAGGCTGGCGAATCTTTCGCTTGCCTACCAATGTACCTGGATGAACAACTCAATTGAAGATGTGTGCGACTGTAGGATCCCAGTGTTAACTCAGCACGGCCTTCCCGGAGCCTCATCCTACTGTGCTGTGAACCATGTGTTTCATTGCTCATCTTAAAATTTGATACATCTGCAATTACGTTCATTGCAGAGTTTGTTGACAGCCGCTAGAAGCTGAATATACTTGACACCTTCCTCAGCCTCTGAACATGCAACAGCGGCGCATCCGCAGAAGCTGTTGCTGACAGGCCTTCGGAGAAGGTGAAGTTTTTGCGTCAAGCATGTGTGTCTGCTGAAAGGATGCAGTCCTGCCTACTGCCCTGCAGGCTTGCATCATGCAAGTCTGAGTATCTCCAGGGTTTAGGCCACTGAGCCTTCAGAAAAGGCTTGCAGAAGGCTTTGCAAAGCGAGGTTTCAAGATCTTAGGAGGCCGCCAGCAGAGCACACGCGACCAGGAGGCGGCCCGGGCGCATGGCTTTGCGCCCCGGGCTGGAAAGCTCAAGGCATGCAAAGCATGGAAGGCATGGAAGATTTCTGGAACTCAAAGCTTCGTTGGGCGGGCTCATGCTCCCGCGCCGAGCCTAGTGTGTCTGCTTGTGCAAGTAAGCAACATCAAGCACATGTTGTTCCACAAGAACACTAACTCGACCCGCCCATTTGTGTTTAGGTAGGGCTGGTGTCATGGAGAGGTCAGGCTACTTCGACGCCCCTAAGATTGAAAAGTCCATTTGATGCAAAAAGCTGCCAGGCGCATGCTGCCACGTGTGTCTTCACGCCGGCATGAAGAATACACAGCCAGCTCCTGGAGGCATGGACCTCTCCCGACGTAATTTCAGGCTTGAGTTCCCCAGCCATGCTGCAAATGATCGAACAAGCACTTGCCTTATAGCAGGGAAGCGGGCAGACTAATGACTAAGGGTAGCCGGAGATGCGCCGCACTTGTTCCTGGACAAGTTCTTTGGCTTTCTCTTCATCGCCCAGAGCCTGTTCATGACAGCTCGGTAAACATCTACTCCTTCCTGAGACATCCCTTGCTATGAGCTTGAGGCAGACTAAATGCGGTAGGGACAGGGGTTACGATTTCTCTGCAGCCAGCAAGTACCTGCATTCCAGGACAGATCTTGCCTGCGCCAACTGGGCATTCATGACCAAGATCTCATCATCATGTCTTCTACGCAGCCTTGTCAACGTGGTTTTTGAGACAAGAGAGACGTATAACACAACACGTCACCATCCTCCCTCCACTGGGTGCCACGGCTCCTCCAAATGTTTCTCATGCCTGCCTTAGGGAGCAGAGCTGCAGCACAATCATGGCCACTGATGTCAGGCAGCTGGCACATCAGATTGAACCCTCCAGACATTCAATTTGGAGCTCTAATTCAAGATGCTGCACTGACAACATGTCGCTTGACATCGAGATCTGGTCAGCCATGAGTATCGCCTCCTTCCAGCAAAGCGAGTTTCAAACTTGGCCACGAACCCTCTATGGACTCTTCCTGCAGCGCGACCATGCACGCCTTCATTGGTGGAGACATTGCTTGGCAGGTCAAAGCTGAGCATTCGCGGCAAAACTTTTCAGGATTACACTGCTGAAGCTGAAATGAGGAAAGCATTACTTCATACAAGTTTCGAAGACGACAAGAATTCAAGGGGCGGAAAGCTGAGTGGCACATGCCACCAACGCAAAAGGGATAGGGCATGACATGGTATAACAAATGGGCGAAGTGAATAGACACCTGTAATGTGGCCCAATGTGGCCCACCTGCATCAGCCTTTTCTTGCGCTCTCGCTGAATGACATCCAGCCGAGCCTGGGCTCGTGCCTGCGCCACGCGCCCAAGGAAGGGCCGAACAGTACCAGAAATTAGGAGGTGGCAAACCGCTTCTTGTGTCACTGCTTCAGAAAGGTCAGCATGCGATTGCCTTTCGCATCCTTTGATGATGCTCAATCTTCAGCTTCTCTTTCCTGGGTTAGCATTTGGAGAAGCACGCCGTCCAAACCGTTGCAGAGACACGCTATGATGATTGCATCACTGGCAGAACCTGAGTGGCTGGCTCCTCCGCTGCCTTCCATTTGAAGCGGATCTCATCAAAAGCACACCTGAGAAAGAACCCATAGGCCATGTTGATACCGATCTGTCTGAATCTATGTTGGTGACGATGGCTGCAGTTTCTACATGCCATCTTGAGAAGTCCAGAAACCTAAGGTCACTCACATGCAGGGAGACAGGAGGGATACAAAGGTCGAGAAAGCCGGCCAAGACAAGGGACAAGGAGTCCAGACCAGACAAGAAACGCGGCTGAGGCTTCCAACATTCAATTGCTTGAGCAAATCCAAAACCTGCAGCAAACTGTTTACGAATAGATGGAAAGCATGAACATACATAAGTGCATGTAGCCTGTCGCTGCGTTGCCCTTTGTGCCTTCTGTTGGAGACGAAGACTGATTCGTGGTGTAATTACTCATAATGTCCAACGAGCTGCTGTAGCCAGGAGCATAGGCCGCCACGCTCCACTATCTGAGACAAAAACAACATGGAGCATCTTCTTCACAAATTCAAGTTGCTTACTGCGGGTCGATCTTCAAGAACTCATCGCAAACTCCAAAAGTAATCCATGCTGCGGCGGCTGCGGCTCTGCGGCTGCTGCAGCGGCTGCGGCTGCTACTGCTTCTGAGCACTGCACACTTGAGGACAGCAGAAGCTGAAGGATAAGTTGAAGCTGCTTGACCCTGTACGTCTCAAGCAGGAAAATGCGTTCTGACTCTGGTGGTGTGAGGACAGCTACTACCGCCACTGCACATCTGGCATCCTCAAGATGACTGCATGTCTCAACAAGCTAAATGCATTGCCTCTCTTCGCATCTTGGCTAACTTCTTGCCGTAGTCCTGGAGAAGACGATACACAAAGTCAAACATTTCAGCTCTCATCATGAATCCGTTAGCACTGAAGCACCAGCATTATCTGATGTAGGTCAATGCCTGCAAAAATCAAGCACCACATAGCAAAAGCAAGCGTCAAGCTGCCAGAATGTCAGTCCTCTGCTAATGAATCCCACTTTCGCTCTCTAAGCGCTACAGCCTCTTCCAACTCCTGGACCTGAAGGTGCCCCCGCGAGCTCGGCACCAGGCTCTCATGAAATGCGCATCGGGTACTGTGGCTCACAAGTAGATAAAGCTGTATCATTACGGCTCGTCTGCAGTGCATTAACCCACGCCATTGCAACAACTGGTTGGTGGGCTTTGAGCGCTGGATGAAGCCACGAGACATCCAGAAAGTTAGGTATGCACATGCTCAATGTGCTGACCATCTGTTTCCACTAGTCAAATCAAAAAAGGAAATGCCCGCCTTGGCTTGCTCTTCTTCTATTTGCTGCTGCTTCTTTTTCATTTCTTTTTCCTGTTCTCATGGAAGAGCTGCCAACTGAGAACGAAAGGAGCAAGCCAGCCTTCTGGCTCAAGTTGGCTACAACTTGTTCTGTTAGGCAGAGGCAGGCGATGAAAAGCGGAATCCAGCCTGCTGCCGCACCTTGCCGTACAAGGCCTCTAGCTCCTCGACAAGGCCCTTGCCTGAGTAATGGATTCATGCTGACCCGAACGACAGACTGTGAGCACCCCGGCCTTCTGTTCCAGACTGTGCCCGCCAGGCCTTCAGCCGAGCGAAATCATCAGCCATCTTCTGCCTGGAGTGTCGTATCACGTGACAGCAATCTGCCTCGTGCTGAGTGCTATACATGAAAAGACTGGAAGGACACTTAACATGTCCGTCCCATGAAATGCAAGCCCACAAGCAAGCTCGTGCCAGGCTGCTCTAGATCCAGTCTTCGGCGTTGCACTTCATCAGTGTAGCCCTGGACAATCAACGTGTTTGCCACATGCCTCCTTGAAGAACACTGCAGCTCTATGACTCCAAGCCTGGTACATCTCGAGCTTCTCTTTCAGCTTGTGCGCTGCACTTCGGTCCCCTCTGGTCGGAGGCAGTGAGGACCTGTCCAAGAAAATTGGGCCAGTTCCAAGGTTCTTTAAGGAAGGACTCAGGGCAGAGCTTGGAGATGATCTGTCCAATCTGTGACAGGTGAATGCCGAGGGAGCTGATGGCCTCACACTTTCACCCATGTGCTCCAGGATAGCCAAAGCTGTGAAGCACATGCCAAATGGGCAACTAGATTCGGCAGGCCACGGCCATTCGACGAAAACCGTTGACATCCAGTGACAAGGGCAAGCAAAGAAGTTTATTTGCCCTTTGCGATGTGTCAGGGATATGTGTGGCCAACTCCTAAATCCTGCCGCACTGGAGCTTCCCTCGCCTCTGCGCTGAGGTCGACCAGCTCCCGGCTGCCCTCGCTAACGTCATCATTCCTCATGATGGCCTTTGCACAGGGACTAGGTTTGGTAGCAATTGCCCGGCACATGGTTCTTTGGCTGCTCGCGGTCTGATGCAATCTTGGGTTCTGGCTGTGGCACTGTGCCAGGCCTGAACCTGCAAGCCTGAATTACCCCGGCCTTCCCGAGGGTCCTACTCTTCTGAGCCGCCATGTCCCAGTTTGACGAACAGTATGGACTTAGCAGACACCTAGCAAACATGTGGCAAGCAGGTTCTCAATTCCTCCAAGAAGCCTCGGCAAGACTGATGCAGCTTCAGCTGTTTCTAGCGGTTAACGGTTACCACATCGATGAAACGGTGCAACCAAGCTCCAATTGTTGCATCACTTTGTCAACCCACGGCACATCAAGCAAAATGATCATCCAGTGGATTCCAAAGAGCCAAGCTCGGACTCAGTAGAATTTGGATGATGCATCGTTTCTTCACGAATCTGACAATCCTGCACCGTGTCGGCAATCGACAAGAGGGCAAGAGAATGCTCAGCAAGTCAATGCGGCAATACAGGGCCTTGCAAGGCCTCATCTGCAGCACGTATGCCGGACAGGTAAGCTGCATGGAAGCCACCCTGAACAGATTAAGGCGTATTCCGAAGCAGCATAACACACGGGCTGACGATTCAGACCAGTCGCACTTGCTGCTAGAATATGTCGGTGCCAAATACTTGCTGCACAGGTCTCATCAGTGCAGCACACGGTTTGGCTAAGCGTGGTTGTGTCTTTGGAAGTGTACCCCGTATGGAGTAGACCTTGTTCGCGTAGGAGACTAGCTTCAGTTTCCTGACACCGCATTTGTCATCTTTCTGCCAGTCTGCGAAGTGTTGATCACTGACTTACTCATCACCCTGCAGCGTTCTGCTGATTTCCGTGTTGTTGTTGTTGTTGTTGTTGTTGTTGTTGTGGTTGTTGTTGCTGCTGCAGTTTGTGTCGTCTTGGTTCCCTTCTCAAAACCAGATCTAGCCTCACTCCGCCTGCCCTCAAAGTCCAAAAGATGCCTGCGCCCGATCGCTAGCCCAGCCTTCCCCCTCCCCCACATTCCATCCCAGCTTTAAAGTCAGATGCGACCAAAAAAATTTCAAAAAGCTTCCAGGGCTAACTGGTTTCTTTTGCGCTGCTAACTAAGGCTTGTCTTTTGCAATTAAAAGGCGCTGCTAACTAAGAAATGCTCTGCAAGACAGCCGCTCCTGATGCTCTTCGTGGGTGTGCTCGCCAGCCAGACGGACCCTCCTTCCCTCCATGCCCACAACCAGGGCTCTCACATCATCCCATTCCTCAGTGCTAATTCGACAAGGACCAACTTGAACCGCGACACTTAGGACGTGTTCCGGAAAAGGTTACCAGGAAGGTCATGTGCCCTGATTAGTGATTGCTGTTGTATCGCACTGCGGCCAGAGATGCTGCGTCTTTCGTGCTCATCCTGAGTGAAGGAACTAGGCCCTCACTAGGCAAGCTTTCCGAATTCAGTGTTCAGATCCACAACGGTAACGGCCCATTTACTACCCGCACGGCTCAATTCAATTGCTTCGTTGCGGCTTGAAGATCTGGTTTGGGCAAGGTTTTGGACAATCTTTGGCTCAAGCCATTCCGCGCCCAAGCAAGGCTTTCTGTACTACGTCATACCATGGTTCACCTCCTACTCGCCATCAGAGGCGAAGTCAGCAGTATTACAAAACTCCTGCAGCTTCCTGGGCCCTGGGGGAAACATACTTTGCTTAGCTATGCAGGCGGACCACCAACACAGCTACGCTCTCTCAATATCACTGGCAGACAATCAAAGCTGAGCAACGAGTAGGACCCTAATGTCCACTCCACTTCTCCCCAGCGTGTCATTCGCAGTGCCAGCAGCTCGTGGGGGAGCAAGCCCAGCAAATTCTCCGCTACCTGGCCGCAGGCAAGCCAGATGTGGCACTCGCAGACGACTAGGTCTGGGCCTGTCTTGCTTCCGCATCTGAAATTGCTGCTGATTCCGGGATGACGGAAGCAAGTGACCTGACAACTTGGAAGGGCAGACCCTGCAATGTAGAATGCGCTCATGTGCAAACAAAGGGCTCAGGCTCTGGCAAGAGGGGTTTGCCGTTAAGAGGCCAGTAATTGAAAAGTTGCCAGAAATATTCCGACTCCTGAAGATCTGTGTTGCAGAGTGCTCAACATATGTAAACATCTGTGCAAACCCTGCTTCGTGAAGATCTGAAAGCCTGTGCATCAAATCACGGCAAGGAGCAATGTCTGTCCAAACCGGATATCGCGCCGCTGCCTCGCAGGAAGAAAACGAACCCAATACCGCACCGACTGATGTAATGACTTGCAAATGCCTTCTGCAAACCATCTCGTGGCCATGTGCATGACAGATTCTGGTGGCAACCCTGCCAAATGTTACCTCCTCCGTCACATGCAGCAGTAGCTTGTTGTAGTGACCTGTGGGCGCTGAACCATCATCTGCCGATCAATGCTGATAGTTGTCATAGTCATAAATGATATTGCAACCGCGGGACACATTTTCAGCCGCGACAGGGCATGGCGAACTGTCGCAGGCAGCGCTGGCTTCATGAAGTCCGGGCCCAGTTGCTGCAACACGCCTTGCACTGCAGCTTTGAGAGACAGATAATGTCACGGGAGCCTCCCATCCTCCAAGGAGATTCCAGAAAGGCTTTCTTCAGGAAAGCAGCACAGCCCCCTGAAGGGCAAAAATATCTGCCTTTGCGGCTTTACACCCGGGTTTGTTTGTTGTTTTTTTTCGGGCTTCGACCAGTGTTGGAGTCTTGACAGGGCTGTGTAGTTTTGCCTCACACCATGTGTCTTCAGCAGTCTGCTAAAGACATGCTTCACAGATGGTCAAGACTTGAAGAACTGCAGCAAAAATCAGTCTACGAAGCCTCCACCAACAGCGTCACATCCAGCACCCAGCAAGATGCTTCTCAGCCGTGCAGGTTCTCAATTGAGTGGGATTTTTCCGGCCAACCAAAGGTTGGTTTCTGGCTGAAATGCTAATTGTGGTGCTTCTCTCTCTCATCTTTTGCCAATGCTTGATCTGGAAGGGGTGTTGTCCAGAGGTTGTTTCAAAATTTGTTGTATGGAAGCAGGGCGGGAATTCCTCATGAGTTTGCCGAACTTTTCCAGCCCAAGATGCATGGCATGCAAGACCCGAACTGTTGAGAAGGTTTTCCATTACTCCAGTGCTGCTACGGCAACTGCTGCTAATCTTTTTTCAGAAAGGAAATGAAACGACGGGCTGTGACAAGAAGTGTTCAGAAGGCAAAGGCACCCAAGGATGCCGTCAGCACTGCCCACTTGGCTCGGCAAAGAAGACCACTTCGGCAGCGTGCCAAAACAGACGATGTTTCCTCGCACCACTACTGCAGGCCAAGCTATGCATCAGCGCAAAGCTCACTGAAAGCAATCCTTGCCTCTTGAAGGAGTAAGACCTCCTCACGCAAATGCACCTTGGCTCTGCAAGAAACCGTCCACACAGGCCCTCATGTCATGTGTATCTACACGTCCCTGGGCAGTTTTCTTCTTGATTGCCAGGTTTGTCAAGGAGCGCTGACACCACGTCGCTGGGCATCTGCTGCCAGGCGATTGGCCACCGACTCAGCGCCGCCTAGCGATTGGCCAGCAGATCAAAGAGGAAGGCTCGCTCATGCTGCATTTGCGACTTTGCGAAGACAAGCCCACAACCCTGCAAACGATAACAATGCAGAAACCAGTCCATAGCCTTTCAACACGGCGTGTGGCCCAGGGTAATCGCCCATGGACCCATGTTCTGTGTCCCATTCCAGCATGCCAATCTGATCCTCAGATAAACGATGCAGCCGCAACATAAAAGCCCACCGATATGATTGAACATGCGCGGCGCTTTCTGAGTAGGCCGTTCCCTTATCTCGGTGTTTGCAAATGATTCACGTAAGGAACGTCAGCTTCCTGGGACGAATCTGTCTTGACACACACAGATCGCAAAAAAAATCTCCACGTTGACCTCAACTGGGTGTCCTGAATTGGAAAAATGACATGGAGCAAAAGAAGACAATTGCTTCTGAAACCCATGCAGTTGTGAAAAGAGAAGCGACAGGCGAAGCATCTTTCACACCCTGATAATTTTTTCCCATTTTTTCCGGATGCTCCGCAGAAGAGCTCCAGTTTTAAGGTTGGGGTCCAGGAAGCGACCAGAGATCGTTGCGCTTGTGTGTGCGAGCGTCCGCGAGTGTGGGAGGAGCTTCTCCTGCTCTCCTCCTCCCTCCTCTCTCATCTCTCCTCACCCCTTCCTCCCCCTCTCTCCTCTCTCCTCGCCTCCTCTCTCTTCCTTCGCTCCTCCCTCCTCTCTCCTCCCTCCTTTTTCCTCTTTCCTTTATTCTCTCTCCAGTCCTCTCTCCTCGCGACGAAGTTTCGAGGCTCCAACAGCGACAGTTACAAGGGTGACAATCCCGACTTCTGACACTTGAGGGTTCAAAAGTGACGACAGTGATAGGGATCGCGCTGCGACACTCCTGCGGAGACAGGAAGAGAGGAGGAGGAAGAGAGGGGGATAGGAAGAGAGGAGAGAGGAGAGAGGGGGAGAGAGGAATGGAGGAGAGAGAAGGAGATGAGAGGAAGAGATGAGGGGAGAGGAAGAAAGGAGGGAGCAGGGAGGACGGAATAGGAAGGAGGAGGGAGAGAGGAGAGAGGATGAACGCGGACCTTAGTTCCCTGATTTCCCGATTCGTGCGTTTTATCTTCTGCACGTACGTGTGACGTGTCTGCATTTGGGTTCACGGATCCTATCAGGTTTAAAATGTTTTTTGCGGCTAGAACAAGTGCCAAGCTTCAGCAGAAGTTCCAAACCACAGCTGCAGCATGCGCAGTCGCCTTTCTTCTGCTTTGTTGAGTGGTCCCCACGAAGCTTCAGTTGCGCGAAGTCCGTCCTTGCGACGTGCACTGTCGCGCACTTCTCTTCCTGGGTTTACATCCGCGGCACCTGGAGTGACTTTCCTGGGACATTGCTTGCAGCTGCCGCAGAGCCCAGGTCCGCCAGTCGTAGCTCCCATTGCTCATCGTCCTGATCTACAGGGCATAGGAGATTCATCAACAACTTTGCCATGCCCTGCTGTTGACAACCAGCACGTTGGCCTGCACGCGAGCAAAGCTGCAACTGTCGCCAGGAGCAGCTCCATGAAGCCAAATGTTGTGCCCACTGCTTGGTATAATGTCCTGGCGGCTGGCAGAAGCCCAAGCACAGGGATCAGAGTCGCAAAAAGGGTTGCCAGTCGGTTGATGCAGGACCAGAGCTGTCACTTCTAAGCGCCAGATGAAAAGAGGGCCTCCAGCTCAATAATACCGTCTCGCAGCAAGGGATTTCCATCAATACCTCCCAGCGTGCAGGCACGGCCTCTTCTTCTGATGACAGGAGGCAATCATCGTCAGCTGAGCTGCCATGAACCCAGGCGGCACCAGCGTCAGCCGTGACGTCACCCACCTCAAGAGTTTGCTTCGAAGCCACGATCGCATAGGAAAGCAACCAGCCTGCAAGCTGCAAAGCCGGCCCCCAAGCCGGTCTTGCCATTCGAGGAGCACCACCTCCCACACAAGGGACTTCCACGAAAAAGCAAAAGCAATGACAATTTAGCAGCTCACACAGGGCACCCATGAAGGAATGATGACTCACGAGCAGACCTAGCGACGAGCATGGCAGAAGGAGGTCAGGTAGTTGTGCTATGTTCTTATTTTGTCATCTCCCTGCCCTTCCCACGCTCCCTTCCGCCGCCCCCAACCCCCAGCCACTGACAAGCCCTCCGACGCCAGGTTCCTTGGCTTTTCGTAAATTGAGCTGTTCTTCATGTAGTGCGGGGCAGACGACTTGCTTACACTGCTTCAATCTGCGAAAAAAAGTGCTGGAGGAGTCATTGCTTGAGAAAAGAACCAATTAGATGCGTCAGAAGCGTGCGCATCATTGGACATGTAAGACTGCAAGCAGGAAGATCGAAGTCCTTTCTGCGCGTGTTTCAAAATCTCTGCTGGTTTGAATCACAAACACGCATGACCAGAAAACCTGATGTCACGTTTCTGCCGTGCCATCATTTTTCCGTTGTTATTCGTGGAATGGACAAATTTAGTATTTTCGGTTGGGTACTCACGACCCAGAAAAGAAGTATAATTTCCAAACTCAATTTGAAATACAAAATCCTAACTAGAAGGGAGATGTACCCACTGTTCCAAACCCTGGGAAGAAAAGGATGCATTGTGCTCCCGTTCATTTTAGCAGTTGCAGCTAGCATCTGCGTTGCTCTTCTCTCTCATTCAAACTTCAAATTCCGCCACATCCAGATAGTCACCAAAAAGTGAACTCCAGCACAACTTCCCAAAAAACCAGCCCTTCTACGACCAGAGGTGTCGAGGATCGGATTGGTAATGAGAAATCGGCATTGCCTTCATGGCTTTCTTTGGTCCGCGGAGCAACATTCTGCTTGCAGGTCCATGGGATATGGCAACTAAGTTGTGACTGGATTTCAGGCAAGGCTACAACCTCAGTGAGAATCTCCCAGTAGGTCTCAGGAATCTCCACGTAAGGGGCTTCAAATACCAGGGGTCACTCTGATGCGCCTTCGGAATCATGCGGCCTCTTTGGGCTTCTTGATGTTGTGTTAGGCGTAGCTGCTAGTTTGAACACATGTAAAAGTGCCACGGGTATGGATTCTTTACAATTTTAATGTTGCCGTGGCTCCATGCATGAAGATCATTGAATTTGCTCAGGCTAAGCCCCCGACCTTGTGTTTACACAACATCCCTTCCACAACTGGCATATCCTGAGAATGAACCCCTTTCCTGAAGCTAGGCTTCAGGCTTAATATCTCTGTGTGATACCAAGGTTTACTCATGCCTTTGGTTGTGGTACAGACTGTCTGGCTGCTGTACGCGATGAAATCAAATGAATCAGAACCTTCAAAAACCATGTCTAGGAACAACCGCAAAATCCCCAAAGAAGAGATACTCGGGTAAGGCTTGCCTGGAGCTCTGGCTGGGCACGCAGCAGTCTCTCGGAACAGGTGAGGCCTGCCACGCCGCCTGGCAGTACCACGTAGATTTACTTGATACCGATAATTTCATCCGAACACAGAGATCGCACACTGCACCGGAAGCAGGACAAGCAACCCTCCTGCAGCAAGACTTAAATAAGCGCACACGTCTAGCTGGCGGCCACAGCAGCGCCACAGGGCGCGCAGGTGGGCAGGTGGGTATGCGCTTTTTTGCAGCCAGCGCAGCACAAAATAGAAGTAAGGCGCTGGAAGCGATTGAACGCTCTTCATCCAACTGGTCCGCGAAGACAGTTAAAGGAGCTCACATGAGTGATCATATGTCTTGACGCCCTCCCTGCGGAAAATCTTATGCATACCGTGCTGATCGGTCTACGAAAATGTTACGCCTGTGTTTGTTTTGCATTTGTATCGCACGGTCCCACCCCACTTGTTACTCTTTACGCGATTAATGACCACTTCAAGCTGTATGCCCTGTATGCCAAAATCTTGTGGCGACATTGTCTGGGTGGACAGTTTGGGTATTGGGCTCTTCAGGGACAGTTGAGGGTTGAAGGTTACTGCTCGGGGCACTCTGGGGCTGGGCACTTTAGGAACGCTCGCTGCGCACTGTAGGAACACTCTGGGGATTGGGGCTGCAGAAACACTCAGAATTCAAGCACTGCAGGGGCACTTTGCAATTCGGCACTGCAGGGATACTTTATGGTTAGGCACTGCAGGACAGGCGTTTCAGAAGTTTGCGTCATTGTGAAACCATGGGCGCATTCTGTCTGGACAGCCAGGGCGATGTGCACGACATGTATAAGACTCCCACCTCCAATTATCACAACGTCAGCAGAGAGCTCCTCCATACCTGCACACAATAGTTCAAAAAATTATTGAAATCTCTACACCACATAGTGACGAGACTGAAGAGCAGCAAAAACACAAACAGCTGAGTCACGACGGACTGTTGCCACCAATGACCGCGGTCCCATCCAATGCAACCAAGTTTCCACATTTTTGGAGTTCATCCTCTTCCCAACCACCCGGCCATACTTGACAGAAGCAAGCTGCAGGCCAAGCCAGACGGTGAGGATAATGAAGGCAAAAACGATATGGCAGCAAGCACACGGCTTGCGGTGTAGCTTGAAAGCAGAGACCTCCCAGACTGTCGCGCGTAGGAAAAACCCTATTGTATCTGCGCAACCCCTGGCTTGCGCTATCCGCACAGAACTACACTCTGCTAAGTCTAAAGAACAAGGACTTTGGGGAGCCCATGCTATGGCAAATCTTCTTCAGGCGCGCGGGTTTTCCTTCTTGATGTGTGATAGATTTGGAGAAATCGGAACGGAGATCCACGCGTTGCTTGCGTGAACAGCATAAGCTTTCGTGATCAGAAGTGATTTCTGTCCTATGACCACCACATGACGACTGGCACTGAGCGCGGTTTTGCCCATGGCAGTCATCTTGGATAGAATGGTCCAGGAGGTAATAGCAGAGGCCTCACAACGTCACATCACATGAGCATATCACGTGAGCAGAGTGAGTGCAGTTCCTCATCACCTGCATGCTTGCGTTCCAATCAGCTGAGGAGAGCGCGGCTCTACAGGGACCTCGTGTTTCCGCACTATCCATAATTTTCAGAGGGCTGTCACTTGCAAAGTGGCTCTGGGTATCTGAGTATCTGCAGTAGCTCAGCAGTCCGCAAACATTCTAAAGGTCACGTATACCGATGACGAAAGCAGGTGGAATCCCCTACATCGGAATTGCAACATTTTTGTTGGTGCTTGACGTGTCTGCAGCTAGATGGGCGATGCAACTCACTATCATCATCTATCATCTATCTGATTTGCATAAAGACTCTGGCGACCGAGGGCTGTTGCATCCCAACTGGATTCCAGCTTTGCTTGGGCTCTAGCTACTCGAGAGAAGAGCAGCTGAGCTGCCTGCAAATTCAACGCTCACACACAAAGCGAGCCAGCTGACAGCATGCCGTAGCTGAAAAGGCAAGGCCAGTCGCAGAAGCCAGGACTGCCTCCCACGGAAGCTGGTAACCCAGATGCTCCAGTCGTTGAAGCAGCGAAAGCCTTGAAGCAGAGACTCCGAGAGCAATGTCTTGCTTCGATGGTTTAGAAACCTCTCGTGCATGGACAACACTAGATACACCCAATTTCTTGTCTCTTCTTCGCGAGGCAACCCTGAGAGCTCCGAGAACATTGGAAAGCTGTCTGCTCCATGTTTTGGCACTCTCTTCACCAAGGCAAGCTTTGAGACGTTGTACTACGTCAGCTAATAAACGTCTTAACGCGTGATGTTGGGGTTCTTCTGCCTGTAGGGTTCTAGATCAAGATGATCGAGCGGCAGCCGAATCTGTCTTCCAGCGCCCCCGAAACGTTTAAAAAAAAAAACAAGCGCTGGAGAAAGCTGCAGAAACTGTATGGCGTCTGAGGCCAGCAGTGCTTGCCCATGTACCAATACAGAACTGGATTTTCGTCACGCGAGTCCAGTGCTTCATCACCTATTGGCACCTCGCTTCCATGCTTCTCAAAACGGGTAGACCTTCTGCAACCTCATCACGAAGAACAGTTACTTGCAGGATGAGTCTGAAAACAGTACATTGCAAAGTCAGAAGCCTGGAAAAGCCATGGGCAAATCAAACACGATCAGCAACTACTGCAGCATTCTGGGATGAGGCTGATATGATTTTCTCTTTTCTCGCTCGCCCCTGCTGATTCCTTTGCATGGTATGGTAAGGTAAGCTGAGAGGTGCTGTGCTTAGCTGGTCGACAGCCCGCTCATAAGTGGTGAGCTGTGCAGCTTTGCACGGGGGAGTCTGTCGTGACGTCGTCGGCGTTCCGAAGCGTTGCTGGGACAAATCTTGCTGTCGCTGCATGTCGTCGTAGACAGTGGAGCGCTGATATGCCTTGCCCCTCTGCTGTACGAAAGGCTCCATCGTGAGGGGCGAGGTCGGTTCGTGCATTTGACCTGACGTATCTCAAGGAGCTCGTTCCAGGCGAGGTATGAATACATCTCCGCGCATCAGGTACCTGCAACAAGCAGTCTTGGCCGTTGTTCGCTGAAATGTCTCGAAACCTTGAAAAGCATTCAACAGTGAGAGCCGTGCCTAGAAGTACGTTCGAAACCTGCACCAACTGCATGCCATCCGCGAGAGTCCGAGTGGCGAACGTCGGCCTTGATCTCCATGACCTTCACAGACCACAACTTGCCACAATTTGGCTATTGCAGCATTCATTTCAGCAAATCTTTAGCTCACACTGTGTAACGCATCGTGAACGGGCGTCCGTCTTTACTGTTGCACAGGGCTGCATTAAGATCATTAAGCATGTTAGCTTGGCTGGACGGCAGCGCGGACGAAAGCTAGAAATTCATGTACGGTCGAGACGTGCAGGCACACCGACCATCCTCTACTAGCTCCGGAGTCGTAATCGCTTGCTTGTCCTGGCCCTGAAACATACTGAAACGGATCCCTCCCGTCCCCGCCCAATACTGAATGCTTACTAGTCTGAACAATCATGCATTACTAGGGGTATTGATTGAAGGACGTATATGGAGGCTGCTGACTGTAAGTTTTGATGAAAACAATTTCCGTTAGCAAACCACACAGATTCATATCTTCCGTTCAATAACCATTTCAGATTTCCGGAGGCCCGTTTTTGTTTCTATGAAAAAACACCCCTTCAGGGAGTCACTGAGATCCCTGATTCTACGTAGGTTTCTACATCATTTCTATCATTTGTGTTGCAAAAACAACAACATAAGAGAGACTGGAAATTCAAACACCCTTGAATTCCAGTTGGATTGCTTGAAAAAACTCATCAAGGCTTCTCTTTGGGAATCTAGCAACACCAACCAATGTTCATTCCGCATAAAGGCCCCTTACTGCTTTATACCACCATTTAGTTCAGCGTTTATATCCGCCTTGTCAATCACTTGTTCACGTAGTCTTGCCCCCCTTAAATTCAATTCCAGCTCGTTGTCCCTGCAGATAGCTGCAGTGACGAACTGTACACACTGCTGAACCTCATAGAATGACAAACTTGACATGTCGCAACAAACAAGGAGTCCAACAAATCCAGACGGTTCACAGGTGGGGCCTAAGGTGGGGCTGACGTGGGCCCTCCCCCTGCCGCTTATGTCGTCGCTACTAGGTCGGGCCCCTCCAGCACGAACCTCTAAATCTCTGCTGTAGAATAAATATCAGACCAGATGGTCCGAAAGGTTCTCCACGGACCAGGAGCCCATATTTGCTAAACAAGCACTCTCGCAAGCTCCTAGGAGCCAGCTCTCCTGATTATAGCCGAAGGAACGCCACCAGGATGCCCCACGCGTAACAAGTTCCCTCGACGACTTTCCGGAATGCAGCGCCACGGAATGCTCTGCTCCACCTGCACAACAATGCGCACTACCACACGGGAACCTGAGCCTCGAAACCAATCAAAAAGCTTACAATGTCACCAGCTTCTGCACATGGGTTGCGATCAAAATTCATACTCGGCAGTTGGGCGCTGGTGTTAGATTTTTGAATTTCTTGTCTCCCCCTCACATCAGCATCGGAAGCCCTGTCTGTCTTCCCTGATGTTGTGGCACGAAGTCTCCGAGATGCACTGCTGGGAATGCTTTGGGCAGAGTCCACAAGCCACAAAATTAGCCGAACCTCAACAACTGCCGAGTTGGAAGAATGTCCAAATTTAACCCTCCTCGCCTGCGCAGCACATGCAATGGCGATGGATCCGGTGCCCGTGAATGCATGGTGGATGCCTGCAGACTCCCTTGCGTCTGAGTGCGATGAACCACCTACGAGCGTATCTTTGCGCACCTTGAGTTTTCAGTTGGTGCTTTGAAGCATGGCAGGAAGCAGCTTCATGAATTGTCTCTTCTCCAAGCTGCGACCTGGCGTGCTGATTCTAGAAAGGAGATCCATGGCCTCAGGTCGCTCAAGCTCAAACTGATGGCCCATATGCCGCGCCTGAAACAAGCAAAACTGACCAACACAGACATATTCTAGCTGGTGCATTGCACCAACTAGCCAAGGCTAACCCTGCTCAATCACTGGTTTCATATGCCAGGTATAGAACAACATCAAGAAAAATCTGTTGTAGCCTGGTCACGCCTGCATCGATCTCATCTCCAGCAGTTGTGGTATAGAATGCCGGCTCTGCGACAAAGCTCACACGTGGCTGGTCTGAGACCTGCACCGCGCTGCACAAGGCGACACTCGGTCCCCCTAGCCACCAACGCCACCAGCTGTGCCACTGTGCCATCGCCATTTCTCAGCTCAGGCTTGCCCCCCAAAAAAACATCTCCTTGCCTCGATGCCGAAGAGCGGTGCAGCTTGTGCTCGCAGCTGATCCACAATCGGAAGGATGCGGCCTCAAGGTGGGAAAAATGCTACTCCTCAAGCAGCACAAACCTATTCTCAGGAAAGCCACTGTAGTCCATCTCGCTCGGTAGCTCCTTGGCGCTTGAAGGGTTCGTCAAGCAAGGCAAACTGCGTTGCTTGATGTTGCTTGCAGCTTGGCGACGTGGCCCTGAAGTCCAACCGCTTGTGAGGAGACGAAAATCGTGGGGTTGCCTCGAGCTGGCTTGAGGGCTGCACCCATTTCACTCAGGACTGCTGGAACTGATCCACTCCGCGTGCCAAGTGCCCAACCAGCGGTCACAAGCGTGGCTTCAATGTGGGAGCCGTCCTGCAGCTGCAGCACGTTGGTGGCTTGACCTGAAGAGTTCTCAGCATCGGAGACATTCGGAGACTGTCAGAAAAAGAGCTCTGCCGAGGTCCGAGGTGCCAGTCGGCAGCAGCGGTTTGCTGCCATGCGGCTCCAGAAGCTCCACGTAAATTGGCGGCTCACGACCTCCCCAGTGTCACAAACTTCAACGCATCAATCTTTCGGACATGTTCTGCTGTTCTGAGGCCACTTTCTGGCCTGGAATCCCAGCCAGCGAAAGCAGCGGTACCTCACCCTCTGCCTCTTCTGCCTTGCAAGGCTGTTTAGAATATCTTGGCTGAGGGCGGATCTCAGCAGGCACCAAAGAATGCGCCTCTAGGATGGGAGCATCTACTCCTCTAGGCACGTGCACGTTCATTCCGTAGCCTTGGTTCTCCTGCCATACTCGCACTAAATGCGAGGATCCTGGGCAGGGCTTGACTTGGAACGTGCAATAAGCTCAGGTGGAAGCAACTGCAGAGCCAACACGACAATTTTCTTTCTCGTGTGGACATCCCAACATCCTTTGGAAAAATCCGGCTTTACCAGCTGCTCGCCCAACGCGAAAAGACCAACTCCAGCGGAAAGGTTGCCGCAACTGCCCTGACAAGCGGTTGGCAAAGGACTCGCGAAATCAGGCACAGGTATTCTCAGGTTATACAGTTATACCGTAATACCCAAAGACCCGGTTGTTAATCCTGCCTCCCAGTTGATCCGGCGATCCTGCAGGCGTTAAGTCGCGGAATTACAGGCCATTAGTAACTTGGCAATGGTATTTTTGCTCACCTTCAGTGAAACAAGATGCCAGCCGCCTTCAATTGGAGTCTTGCAAATTTCGCATCGTGACAAACCACGCTCGGGAGACGTGTCCACTCACTGAAACGATCATGTCGGGTCCTTGATTTCCACCTGACCGAAGAGATAGTTCACATCGTATCCCTCGCCTTCAGTGCTGCAATCCATGCAGGACTTGGGCCTCTTGGCTCTCGAAGCATGCGGTTTACGAGGCTCTCTAAATAATGGAGTCTCAGTAGCGCTGCGATGGAGAGAGGATGGCGACCTGCAGGGGCAAGTCAGCTCAGCTGCTAGAGATCTTGCAGGGACGGAGCATGAGTTTGGCAAAAGGCTGCAGCAGCGCAGGCAGCTCACTTCGCAGCGCAGTCTACTTCACAATGACCGATCACGAAGTTCGGCCTTGCTGGTTGACGAGATGCCACCCCCGAGTCCGTTCAGCTGAAGCCCGGATGGATCCTGATGGTCAGACATCTACGTGCGTGTCAGTCTGTCACACATGGACTTCACTGGCTGGCACATGCCCCCTTGCAGCTCATGCAGCTTTGAGCTGCAAATGCCGAATGACAACTGCTCTCACCAATCGTATAACATCGCTGCGCTGTCTTGCAGAGGTTGCCGGTCATGTGAGGTCTCGAAAAACCAGCACGTGCAGCGGAACCCAAGAATCTCAAGCTTTACTCTTAGCATAGCAAACGGGCGTTTTTCTTGTATGCTGGCTCCCGAAAGCAATTCACAGGAAGGGTGAGCCTAAACATAAAAAGGAGGCCCCACCTTCATCTTGCGTTTCGGGGGGCGGCAAATGCACAATGCAGGGGGCTAATGTACCTTAAAGGGGAAAAAAGGTGAGCCCAGCCTCGACGCTTACATCCCTTACCTTTCACATCAAAAATTATACCTAGCTCAGGAGTTGAAATGACATCGGATTCTTATGAAACGCTGCTACGTAAGAAGGTGTCAGTTGGCATGCAGCCCAGCTTTCAGCCGGAACTTTTTTCTGTCCACGTCCTCCCTTGCGGATGCACACCCGCGCCCTGGCCGGGAGGCCAGACATATGTGGCTTTCTGCCCTCTCCACCCCCTGCGTTCCGCGCCAGCTTTACGAGGGTTGGAAATCTCAAAACTGGGCTGGAAGACAGGATCATCTTGAGCTTAGGGGTCTTTGCGCCGGACGCCCTTCACCTGACAAGGCGCTGCCTGAAAACCATCTCTTGACAGCTGGCCCTGATGTCGAGGGCGCGCGCTCGTGGGCCTCGTGGGTCTCAGGTGGGGCTCACTCTGCGCGTTGGTCTCGGGATCTCCGTGCTGTGGTTCCCTGCACTGTCTCGAATACGAGTCACTGACAAGTGCGTCTGATGCAATACATCCAGGGCGAAGCCCGCACAATGTACAATGCGCAGGCCGTTAGGTACGTAAAATGCACGCGCAAGCCGAATATGTCAAAAGGCGCACTGCTGTAGTGGGGGCCATCGCACACTAGTTAGGCGCCCCCCTGTCAGTGGCACTGTGTGGAAAAAATGTTGCTCCACATGATCCATCCTTGAACGCTCCAACTGAGGGTTTTCGACACCTTTCTGCACACAGAGATCCTACCCCCCCCAGCGACCTGGAAGGCGGCTGGAATGCTTCATGACAGGGTCTATAGTCTGAGTAATCCTGTGCCCACAGGGGATTCCCCCATCCCCCCTGATCTGACTTTCTACTGGCTTCCTGGCTTTCACGTTTTATCAAACTCACGTGCAGCATTGGGTTTGGCTCCGGCGGCGCTGAGAGGGGAGGTCGTGCAGAACTGCGAGCCGAGCACCGCATGACATGTCAGTTATCTTCCCGGCACTGGCGTGACACACTGTTGAGTAAAGGCTCCGGACTGCCCAAAGCAGCCAAGATCAGTGCATCTCGAGCTTTGCCCGGCGGCGGGAGATCTGCCTGATGAAGAAACAATCCTCAGCGTGGCTCTTCTGAATGCTCGCTGTCCACAGACCGTTGTTTTTCTCGGCTGAGTGCCCAAAGACAAGCTTGGGGAGAAAGAACAGGATAGGCATCACAACTACTGAAGATCCAAACTATCTTCGAAATCTTCGTGGATCTGGGCTGAAGTACCATTGGCCAACTACATAGGGGGGTCAGGAGAGTGACCTCGATCCAAAAGATCCTGGCAGCCAAACACAAAAAGCTAGGTCGTGAGGTCGTGCCAACTGCCGCTTTGCTACCTTTGGAGGTACCACCACGAAGCCACGCTGCGCGCAGGCACCGCATGGCACCGAGATGGCTGTAGAGTTTCTGCTGTTGTTCGCATCTTGAAGATAACAGCAGTCACATCAAGTCAACCATCATGAAGGTATCGCCAGGCAGATAGGTGAATCGTCTCTGGTCAAAATGCAAAATGTTTGGAGAGGCTGACTTAAAGAAAGAGTGCACGAGCCATCAAAATGTGCTTTCACAGCTTGATATTTGGCGAAGTCCTAGCCTACTGACCCAAAGCCAATGAAACAACAAACACCCAGCTCTCGAATTGCTGAACCTAACGAACAGGTCTTGCATAGCAGCAGAACCGACGGGAACAACTGCAAGGCCCTACACAGGCAAAAGGCTAAGGTTTCAGCGCCGGTTGGCGCCAATCAAAGAACTCGGTCGGCCCATCCTTTGAGCTTGCAAAAAGCAAACCAGATCTGCTGGCAGCTGCCATGAAGCCAACCCAATACCTTTGTAAGTCAGCGTACGGCCACGCGGCAATGCTCCATGCACTTAGAGAGAGGTCGCTTCTACGGCAAAACTGTCGCGCCCACACCGTGCAGTAGGAGTCGGGCAAAGCGTCGCCGACGGCGTCTCCGTGATTCATTCTCGTCCACCGCTGTCTGTGCATGCTTATGGATTCAGGCTTGGGGTGCCTCTTGAAGACTACTTCGGTCACTGAAGATGCCTTTGTGTCCCTGCATCACCCACTTGGGCATCAGGACCAATTAGGTAAGATCACGAGTGCCATCTCTACTTGCAAAGCAATTTTACACTCGGCACTACACAGCCAATCAGAAGCTTTTGCGTCGCAACATGTTGGCGGAGGAATGACAGTTGAAAGCAAAACCTACCTAGCTGGTTTGGGGTCTGCAGAGGCACCTCTGCAGGCTTCCAAGCGCCCATGAACAAATGCTGGACAAGCGCTTGTTTGCTCTCGTTGCAAGGGCCTGGCATTGCATACGTCAGGACTCGGGGAAGCAGGGCCACTGGTACTCTCGGCCATTGGGGCTCTCAATCATGTCGGAAGCACGGCTGCCACTATGAGGCTGCCCACATCCAAAGCTATGAACGTCGAACCTTGAACATTGACACTCTTAAGCTGCAGAGCTTTTGACTTCGCAAGGCCGCAAAACCGAGTGCAGGCGGAAAGCGTGTC